GCCACTGAGACTGCGTGTGGTGGCGCAAGCCTGTAATCCCTGTGCTAAGGAGGCTGAAAATAAGAGGATAACTAGAGTTCGAGTTGCATAGTAAGACCCTATACTAAATATGTTTAAAAAAATTATCTTTAATAACTTTTAGTCTCATAGTACCTGGTATGGACTAGACCAGTGGTGGCAAATCTTGGCATGCATGCTACAGCAGGCTGTTTATAACACTGAAAACTCTAAAATGTTCTCCATCACAGGCCTAGACTATTAATCACAAAATACATAATGACTACAAATGATAATGTGGGTAAGTACAAACTGAACACAAAATAGTTTATTGCATCCCTTACAGAGGCACAATGGCTAGAGATTTCTATGTAAAATGCCTGACAATAAAAGAATGCTATTTACATAATCATTAACATAGTTGTATATTCACAAAATGCCAATTGTGTGTTTAAGAATTACATTTACGTAGGGCTGGGGAGATATCTTGGACATTTAAGGGCCTACCTGCCAAGCGCAAGGACCCTAGTTCAATCCCTAGCACCACGTGCACACAGGCCCCACCCCCAGGTCTGCTGAGCTGGCTACTGAGACCCGGCAGAGTGGTGCATGCCTTGTAATCCCAGGGCTGGGGAGGATGAGACAGGAGGGTGGTGAGACCCTGTACCAAATACACAAAGAAAAGAAAAGGAAAAGAAAAAGAAAAAGGGTGAGCAAGTCAGCCTGGGGATGTAGCTCAGCATTAAGTTTCAATCTCTAATACTTCAAATAAAAGAGGGGAACTGTACTTCCGATTTGATTTGAAACTGTCTCATTGCTGTTTATCAATAAAACTTTAAATAAAATAAAAATAAAAAAATAAAAGAGGGGGAAGGTATTTGTACCCATACACCTATAGGGCACTTATCTATTTATATGTAAAGAAACAGGATCTTGGGGCCAGGGAGATAGCTCAGTAGAATAAGCGCTTGCCTGGCAAGCGCAAGGGCCTGAGTTCAATCCCCGATTCCACGAAAAAAAAAAAAAAAAAAAAAGAAACAGGATATTACCATAGATCTTGAAATATGTTTGTTGTGGGTTACTGAGAGATTACTAGAAGTTGTTTAAAAGAAAAAAAATTGCTTAATTATTTAAATTGCCTAGCACGAGGGCCAGCCAAATAGCTCAGCAGATTAAAGCGCCTGCAAGCAGGCACAGGGGCCGGGTTCAATCCCCAGGCCTGCTGTGCCAGCCCTGACCCCAGGGCACACTGAGACAGCAATTGAGACTGGGCATGGTATAATCCCAGCACTTGGGAGGCTGTAAACAGGTGGATCACTATAAGTCTGATCTAGTAATGAGACCCTTAACATCCCATAGACTCTTCCCTAAAATACAAATAAATAAATAGCCTAGCATAGTGGTGCATATCTAAAATCCTATCACTAGCAATACTAAGACAGAGGACAGCTGTGATTTAGACACCAGCCTAAATTACACAGCAAGATCCTATCTCAAAAAATATAACACTCTTCAATGTGAAACAAAAGTCCTGTTTAATCTTACTAAGAACAGCAATTACACAAGCTGTAATATAGTTACTCTCTTTACAACTACAAAATCTAATTCTTACCAGTTATGGCAGAAGAGATTATTTACAGAAGACTGAATAAAGATTAAATATATACATGATGGCTACAATAAATTATTATGTACCTACTAAAAGTGAAAACTACCATGAGAAACAAGAAATGAAACAGAGTTAGTCACTGGTTACAAGTTTAAAACCACCACACAGTAAGACTTAAAGAGCAACACAAGAGACTGTAAAGCAACTTATGTTTAAATATCAAACCAAAGTGGTAACTTGAGCCAGGCATGTTTCATCCTGTAATCCCAGGAATGAGACTAACACAGAAAGATATAGCTCAAGGCCATCCTGGACTAGTGGGTTCAAGGGCAGCCTGGACTACACAAGACCCTGTCTCAAAAAACAAAAAGCCAGCATGGTGCTACAAACCTGTAATTCCAGCACTCAGGAGGCTGACGCAAGAGGATCTCTGCAAGTTCAAGGTTAGTTTGTACTCAACGAGTCCAAGGCCAGGCTAAACTACATAGTGAAACTCTGACTCAGAAAAGAGAGATTACACCCAAATTTTCTTTTATATTCCATACTAGGGGCTGAATCCAGGACCCTCACACAATGAACTATATCTCCAACCCTTTTTCATTTCGAGGCAGCATCTTGGTAAGTCACTCAGTTGCCCAGAAGTTCAGTTAAACATGTGATTCTCCTGCCTCAGCCTTCCCAGAGTGCTGAGATGACAGACACACACCTAATTTACACTCGTTTTTGGAAGGCACTTTAACTTCAAAACTCCAAAATGTAAAATAAAAGTGGAAGACATGTGAAAATAAAATGAACTACTGTCTAAGAAAGATAAAGGTTTTCAAACTCTGGTGAACATCTAAAGAACTTGTTAAACCATATAAACACCACCTACTATCTCAAACCTTCAGATTCAGAATCAATAAAGTTGTAGTCAAGCTATCTAGAGCTTGAACTAGATGGGTGTTTTTGTTTGTTTTTAATTTATTTATTGGATACAGGGTCTCACTAGGCAGTTCCGACTCACAGTGATCCTCCTGTCTAAACCTCCATAGTGCTGGGGCTACAGACGTGCACCACTACGCCTGGTTTTGGCGGCCAGCTCAGGTCCTTGTACTTGCCAGGCAGCAGGCACTTAAACCGCTGAGCTATCTCCCCAGCCATATATATAATACTTTTTGAGCTAGATGTTTTTTAATGCACAGCCAAGTGTAAAAATTAAGTGTCATATGATTAAGTACATGATCATCAACAGCAAGGAAACCTGAGCTAGTGGTAATTTTAACATATGGTAGACTGTGACCACACACAGCCTCTCTTACACCACTTATAATCTATAAAAAGGAGAGAAAGCCACCCAATCAGGTGATTGTTGTGAGGATTAAAGATGACCGGGCAGGGCCAGGTGTGATGGCACACACCTATAATCTCAGCACTCTGGAAGCTGAGACAGGAAGACTGCCATGAGTTCAGTCATAATGACTGCGCTACTCAACTCAAGGCCAACCTGAACTACATAGCAAGATGCCCCTAAGTAAGTTAAATTTTTAAAATGTAGCTGAAAGGTCACTATTAAAAAAAAAAGAAAGAAAGAAAGATGTCCACGGAATCACTAGTGCAACTCCTGACATTACCTGTATAATGAATTCAAATCATTTAACATTTATTAAGCACTTACACAGTATCAGGGAATAAGGAACATCTCATTAACTTATTAAGTATGAAGAGGACAACTCTGCAACGTTGTCATGAGAACATACAAATAGAAGCGATCCTAACCTGTAAAGTCTTCCCTGGAATGAGCTGAATCACATAATAGGTTTTAACTAGATAAAAAGGAAAGGAAGAAGCCAGTGTGGTGGTGGGGCCTTTGCAGCCTGTGCTACAAAGCAAGACTGTGCTCAAAAAAGCCAAAACTTAAAGGGGGGGGGGGGGGGGCAGGGGACGCATTTCCAGGCTCTCGAAGATTCTTCCTGAAAGCATAACCAAAAGCTATGTATCTGAAGAACAGAAAGATAGGCAAGGTAACCAGAGGAGAAAAGAAATCCAAGAAAGCCTGGTGGAGATGAGGCTGGAAAGACAGAGGGCCAACCTCGGCAGGCCTCAGCAGGTACAGCAGAAGTTCAGTTTATCCTGTAATGAGAAGCCTTGGAAGGGTTTTAAACACGGAGACTATGAGATCCGACCTGCATTTAGAAGGAAAAGAGGGGCTGGAGAGATGGCTCAGTGGTCTAAAGCACCTACTCGGAACAAGCTTGGCAAAGCACAGGGACCGCGGTTCAATCCCCCAGCACCACATGCCAGCGAGCTGCGCCCCCTGGTGGGCTAAGCTGGCCACACACACACAATGAATAAATAAATAAATAAATAAATTTAAAAAAAAAGAAGGAAAAGAGGTAAGCTATGATCGAGAGGCTACAAAGAACCTACATGAGATGACAAAGGCCAGAACTAGACTTGTGCTGAAGACAGGACTCCTCCACAAGAACGACTACAAAGGCAGAAGGAGAGCCATGCAAGTTCAACACCTACAAAAAGGAACAGAACAGTAAGAAGACTTATTTCTTTTCCTTGAAGTCATGAATTTCAAATGTGTATGAGCTGTTATCCTCAAACACAAATCTGACTTGCACAGAAACACTCCATTATACGGAAGCACAATGTGTACTGAGGGTCCACTGAACTGAAAGCATAAAAGAACAGGTAGTTCTGCATATGTGGAAAGAAGATCCCAAGAGAATGAAGGCCCTCATCTTCCATTAGGTTCATTGTCTTCAAACAATCTCCACTTCCAGCAAGCTTTATTAAAAAAAAAGGGGGGGGGAGGGGGGAGATGGAGGAGAAGCAGCAGCTTCCAAGGTCCAGAAGGAATCTTCAACCATCTCATTTTGAAGCTATTACCAGGACCATGATGACTAGCTGGTTTGTAAAGCTATTAATTTTTAAGAACTGAGAGACATGCTACTTTAAAAACTTACATACAGAACATAATCGTTTAAGTGTCGTCATACAAATTCTGAATTGGATGCACAAAAAAAGCTCCTTGGCAACTGGTAAGTCACTACTGGCAAGAGTACGTTTAAGTCACTTGACTCTTGTCTACTCGATCCTGTTAGGTAGACTTGATCACCCCTGTGTTCTGATCACAGGGACGTATTCACCCAAAACCCAAGAAGTTTTTGTAAGCTTTATTGACTTAAATCTTCATTCTTTTTCTCTCGCTTAGGAAAACAGGAAGAGTCCTGGAGCCACCAAAGTGGACGTTAACAAAACACCTGCCCCACCCACCTCACACACAGTAACCTACCACTCCCCAGCTACAACTGCGGTCGGAGGACGTGGGAGGCTCAGAGCGCCCTGGTTGGTGCCCCGGGTCACCGGAGCCGGACCTCGGAACCAAGGGGAGCTGTCTTACCCAGTCCGGGAGTAGTGTTCAATTTCCCAAAAGGGAACCGCGATCTCCACCACCGAAACCCGAGCTCCCGCGCCAGCGACTCGCCCGCCGGCGGAAGACCCCGATCACCCGATCGCGGGTCTCCCGTCCCCCCCGGGCCGCTTCGCTTCGGGGCTCTCGGATCCGCTTCCGGGCACCCGCTCCCCCAGCCCAGCCGCTCGCTCGTACCCCGCGCCCCAGCCGGCCGTCACCAGGCAACCGTCGCCAGCCGGCGGCCCCGGAGGCCTAGCCCGCGCCGGGCCCGGCCCCACTCTCCGCTCGCCGGTCAGGGAGCCCGGCTCGAGCGCGGCCGGGGAGGAGGAGCTCACGCCGAGCCCAGCGCTCACCTCTCGGCGCGGCCCCCCGGAGGGGCGGCCCTGGGGCTCGCTCCCCCCGCCCCCTAAACGCCTCCTGGCTGCGCCCCCTCGGCCTCCGCGTCCGGCCGCCGCTGTCCTCTTACTCCATGGCCTCTGCCAACGCCTTGGCCACCAAGGCTGGAGCAGGAGGAGGAAAAGGAGAAGTGGAGGAAAGGACTGGGAAGGAAGAATCCAGGAGCGGTAGGAAGGCTGAGAGACCTGCCGGCCCGTGCATGACGTCACTTCCGTCTTGGCCGGAAGGGGCGGGGTATGAGCGCCTCCCTGCGGAACGCCTGGGAATGGGCGGGGCTTCGGACCAGGGGGTGGAGCCGGTACTACCGCCGTTGGCGGTATGTTTAACTCCGGTGTTCCCAGTCTTCCCAGCCTTAGGAGTTTTTGGACCCAGGCGGAGCAGTACGAGTTCCGTGAGCCCTAGAGGTGGCTTCTTTTAAGAAAGGAGAACAGATAGCCTTATGGAGTCCGGGCAAATGCATAGGGAAGATGGAGACAGGTGAAGGGACTCTGTCCCTTTAAGGGCCTCGGGCTCCGCCCCTTATGGCCCCGCCCCTTTCCGGGAGGCCGAACCCCGACTCGAACCTCCCTTCCTAAAGCACTCAGCGAGGTCTAGGAGCACAGCGCTGCTCAGACCCTAAAGTTTGCGCATCGCCCAGAGGTCCTGTTAAGATGCAGATGCAGAGGCACACCCTCTGCTCTGAGGGTCAGAGAGTCTGCGCAGCTAGTAAGTTACCAGTTGAGCCAAACCTGCTATTACCCCAACCACACTGAGAAGAACCAGGGGGTACCACTCCTGCCTATCTAATGAATCTTAGAGAGGTCGTTTGTCACGGCAAATACCTGGATTTTATTTGTCTGCCTCAGCCTCCCCGAACCCCAGCCCCTCCGCCTGTTCTGCCTGGCCCCGCTCTGGATGCAGCGACTGAGGTTTCCATAGTGGCCAAAGCGCCGCTTCCGTTACACAAAGGATTCCAGGGGGCTGGATTTGTACCTCTGTTATTTTGCCATAAACATTTTGTTATGTAAGATTAGGCATAGTTTCCAGTTACCCGTAGTCAAGGGAAGACAGAGCAGAAATTATTTTTTTTTAATTTTTTTATTTAAAAAAAAATTTTTTATTTTCTTTATATGTGTGTGTGTGTGTGTGTGTGTGGCCAGCTCAGTCCACCAGGGGGCGGGGCTGGCTGGCATGTGGTGCTGGGGGATTGAACCGCGGTCCCTGTGCTTTGCTAAGCTTGTTCTAAGTAGGTCATTTAGACCACTGAGCCATCTCACCAGCCCATAAATTATTTTTTTAATGTAGAAAAAACATCCTAAATGCTTGAAGTTATTCTTTTATCATTCACAATATTTTTAATTAAAATGGAGTAGGGGGGCTGGTGAGATGGCTCAGTGGTCTAAAGCGCCTACTTAGAACAAGCTTAGCAAAGCACAGGGACTGCAGTTCAATCCCCCAGCACCACATGCCAGCCAGCCCCGCCCCCTGGTGGGCTGAGCTGGCCACACACACACACACACACACACAAATAAATAAATAAAGTTAAAAAAAAATGGAGTAGGGGAGAGATTGCTAACTGTGTTGCACTTAACAAATTAAAACCATACTGAAATTTCATCTTACCTGAGAAACAATGGCTATCATCAAGAAATTAAATAATAACCAGTGCTGGAGAGGCTGCAGGAAAGAAGTGATCCTTTTGCCTGCTGGTGGGAATGTAAACTAGTGCAACCGTCATGCAAATCAGTATGGAGATTCTTTAAAAAACTGATGGGGGGGGCAGGGAGATGGCTCAGTGGAATAAGCGCTTCCCTGGCAAGCACAAGGGCCTGAGTTCAATCCCTGGTTCCGGAAAAAAAAGAAAAGAAGGCACCCAAGGGCCTCTGCTAGTTTGGGCCGGGGAGATGGTTCAGTGGAATAAGCGCTTCCCTGACAACTGCAAGGGCTTGTGTTCAATCCCCGGTTCCATCAGAAAAAAAAAAAAAAAATGGCTTCACTGAAAACTAGAAATTCCAGTTGACCCAGCTCTTCCCCTTCTAGGTATCTTGCTGGGTTTGTTTGCTTGGTTTTTGCTTTTTGTTTTTTTGTATGGTTCTATCTGGTTTTTGACACAGGGTCTCACACTATGTAGTCCAGGCTGGCCTCAACTCACAGGGATCCTCCTGACTCAGCCTCTGGAGAGCTGGAATTACAGGTGGGCACTACCACACCTGGCTCCAGCTGTCTTCCTGAAAGACCTGAAGGTGACTATTACAGTGATCCATGCATACCCATTGCCTCAGCTGTTTTTCTCTCATTACTGGGACAAAATACCCAGCCACACCAAATTAAGGAAGGAAAGGTTTATTTAGCTCACAGTTTGCGGAGTTTTCATTCCATACTCAGCTGGCCCCAAGGCGGAGTGGCATGTGGCAGAGGGCAGTAGTTCATGGCGGCAGAAAACAGCACAGAGCCAAGGGAGGGGCAGGCAGTGGCTTCAGCCTCCAGCAAGCCTCTCTTCCCTCCTCACATTGTACTGCAGGTTGCCCACCACAGGGCGGGTGTAGCACTCACACCCATAAGCCCAGCATTGGATCAAGAATCAATCACAAACTCTAGAAGCCGCCCCATGATTGCATGAGGCTTTGTGGGGGGACACCTAGACACAAACCATAACACCCATGTTTGTAGTAGCACAACTCAGGACTAAATCCTGGGAGCAGCCTCTGTGTCTGTGTGTAGATTAATGCATGCACAAAGTGTGGGGCTTACAGTGGACCACTGTGCAGCTGCTCTAAGGACAGACAGTGGTAAATTCTGTTACTCCTGGAGTCTCCAGCTCCCTGTGTGCTGTCAGGCATGGCTGTTTGCAGTGGCAGCTGCTTCTGTCACCACAACCCCCCACCATTATCCCCTGGAGTCCACACTATCCGCTGAGTCATTTGTAGGAAAATGGACGCATCTAGAGACAATCACATTAAGCGAAGTAAACCAGACATGCAAGCTTCAATCCCTCATGGTTTGTCTCGTATGAGAAACCCAAAATATAAGTAAAAAGCAAAACAAAGAATAGACAGGAGGGGCCAGGGAGATGGCTCAGTAGGATAAGCGCTTGACTGGCAAACGCAAGGATCTGAGTTCAATCCCCGGTTCCACACCCCCCAAAAAAAAGAATAGACAGGAAGTAGGTCTTTCTCAGAAGGGGTGGGGAGCAATAGATGGAAGGATGAGGAGAGAGGACTGAAAGGAAGGGATGAAGGAAAAGTCATAAAAGCGCAGTGTGTCTACAAGCAGCTCCCCACAAAGAATGTAAGTAAACATCGTGTACTGCAAACATGTACTAATAAAATATTTAAGTATAAATTAAATTAGTACATGGGCTGGAGAGATAGCTCAGCAGTCTAAGTGCCAACCTGGCAGGTGCAAGGACCCGGCTTCAATCCCCCAGAGGCCGGGCTCGTCGAGCTGGCCACCAAGACTGGGCCTGCAGGTGCGCACCTGTAATCCCAGCACTGGGGAGGCTGAGGCGGGAGGATCACTACAAGTCCGAGCTGCGTTGCAAAACCCTGTACCAAGTAAATAAACTTTTCATTATTTATTTTTTTTAAATATAAGCAATCTAATCTTTTTTTTTAAACAAATACTTTATTTATTTATTTATTTATTTATTTATTTATTTCTGTGTGTGTGGCCAGCTCAGCCCACCAGGGGGCGGGGCTGGCTGGCATGTGGTGCTGGGGATTGAACCACGGTCCCTGTGTTTTGCTTAGCTTAGCTTGTTCTAAGTAGGTGCTTTAGACCACTGAGCCATCTCACCAGCCCATAAATAAACTTTTTTTTAAAGTAAGAATTCATTTTTTAAAAAATAAAATTAGCATATAAAAAAGAGTAGTGCCTAGCACTGAACGGGTCTCTCTAACTGCCCAACCCAGACATGGGTGTTTAACCAACTTGCACTGGTTGATTAGAGGCTATTCACAAGCCAGTATTTAATTATCAGAACTATAGGCAAGGGGGATTATCTATATTTTTTTTTTTCTTGAAACATATCGCTTTCCCAGGCTACTTGAATTCTTCCTACTTCATACAGAGACTTGCTGGGAAATGAGATCTGACAACACCATGAGACGGCAGCCGACGCTGTCACTGCCTGGCAGGGGAGAACGGTGGGGGCTGTGGTGGTCGGACGTAGGGGCCACTCCGGATAGCTGTGCCTGACAGCACACAGGGTGCTGGGGACTCCGGTGGTAACAGAATTTACCCCAGACAAGGAATATGGGAACGACAAGGATTTAGTCAGATCACTGAGTTCTGTGTCCAGGACAGCAGGTGAGTTTCCGAGGGAGGAAATGTACCGTCAGGATGAGAGGCTGAGGTTCTCCCAGGGGAGTGAACACATGGCAAGGGGCTCAGGGGGCAAATGTAGGCCTCTTAGGAATGCGTTTCCCAGGGTGCCCTGCTCTTTGTTAACCTTGCATTGTAACTAAAGTTACACAACAAACTTGCACACTGTCAAGGCCTCTTGCTTAGTCCTTATAAAGGACCTTTACACTTCAACAAAGGTATCTGTACGTTTTAACCTTTCAGAGAGAGTTCAACTTGAGGGGCCGGGGAGATGGCTCAGTAGAATAAGCACTTGCCTAGCAAGCGCAAGGGCCTGAGTTCAATCCCCAGTTCTGCCAAAAAAAAAGAAAGAAACCAGAAAGTTCAACTTGAGTTCAGAGGACCAAAGGATAGTTTTGTACTTAGTCTTGTGGGTTTCCAGTCCTCATTCATATAGTGCTTTATGACTGTCCATTAGCTACGTCCTGGAAGAGTGTTGTCAGAGATTTGGGTGCTGAGGATTTTGACCCTTCTGTCACCCCAAAAACAAGATGACCCTCATTTCCATCAGCTGATTTTGATCAGACGTTAGTGTAGGCCCAGCACTGTGAGTGTGACTTTTTAAATAGAAGCTTAAAACCCAGAATCAAACTTGAA